AAAAAAAACTCATTTGAAAAAATTGTCATTTTCGGCCCTTTTTCCAGCTCCTAGCCCATTTATAACCAGCCAGCTACTAAGACAAAACCAAAAGCGCCTTTTCATCAGGATATTACTACAGAAGATATTGATAGAATTGTAAATAGTAGGATTCAGACATTACAGCAATCAACGCTAAATCAATCACCAGCATCTTCTTCCGGTCAGGAAAATATTACTAAGGCTAATTTACAAGCTATAGCTAAATTCTTTCAAGAGACTATGTCTCGAGTGACTAAAACTCTAGATAATAGTAAAAAATTAACTGTGGAAAATACTGCCATTATATATTTTTTGAGTGACTTACTAAGAAAAAAACTATATATACATCCTGCCGATAAAAATAATCATGATCCTGTAGATGATATTTTAGATAGCTTAGCGGGATTAACATTAAATAGTGTTATAAATACTGCAGTCAAACGTGCTATTAAGAAATCCTCTTCAGGCCACAAATGTTCCAAGTGCGGAAGATCTGGTTACAATTCTCGAAACTGCCCTCGAAAGAAGAAAAAAAAAGCAAGAAGTCTAGAAAGGGTAAGGTTAACCTAGCCACTGTAGATTCAGACTCAGATTCAGATTCTACCACTAATACATCATCTAGTGACAGTTCTGACTCTGATACAAGTTCAGAGGATTCTTCTGATTTTGAAAGTGATATCACCGTTAACATGGTTAAGTTGTGAAGCAAAACTCTAGCTCCAAAAAATCGTCCCTTAAAAAGATGTCTAAAACTTTATTGGAGGAAACTATTCGTAAAATCCTCTAAAGTGAACTTAAACTAATTTTTCCCGCAATATTCCCCCCAAATGCTAATTTTGATTCTAGTCCCGTTGTGTCTGAACAAATACAGGAGAAGATAAATAACACCTCTCCAGGTTCCAAAGATTCAACTCCGGATGAGTCCAGTCTAGAGGAGGAAGAGTGTTTGGATGATCCAATAGAAATTGATTTCGTCCAGAAAAAGGAGCCAAAAACAAGCATTGTGACTGTGAAGTGTAAAATTAAGTGTTTGAAGATTCCTGCTATGACTCTCGATTTTGGAGCAGAGCCTCCTATAGTAACTGAAAATATTGTTGATCGTGTAAAGGCTAAAATTGATAAGTCTGAAACACACGATCTTAGTGGTATCGCCACTGTTCAGATTAAATCTATTGGAGTGGTTCGTGATTTACCTATTACTCTAGCTTCTGGACTTACTATTCATGAAGATTTTGTTGTTGTGAGATATAACAAGCCAACTTTAATCTTTTCTAACCAGCTTTTAAAGAAATACAATTGCGCTGTGGATTGG